GATCTAATGTGATTATCATCGTTGCCAAATGTGTGTATCTAGCTTTCCAAATTCGAGCTGGATTCATCCATGGTTTTTTTATAAACAAAATGCATACCCTTTGAAAAAATAAAGCAGATAAACATCAGCATCGACCATATAAAGGCATAGTGTTTCAACAAGAAAAGCAACCCTATTTTTTATAAGGAAAACCTGATCGATCTTCAACTTTATTAAAGAATATATTGGGAGGGAATTCTATCAGAAATATTGATTGGCTGGGGGCGTTTCTTTTGAGTAGGTTACACTTCAAAGCAGGAAATGCTGCCTGGACTGCTGCTTAATATTAGCCGTTGAAGCAAGACCAATGGCACAAAATCCATGTCTAGTCTCAATCGGATATCCAACTTCTGCAAATATGTGCCAGGCTCGATGAAAATGACTTCAAATTGACTATAATTCTTTTTTCTTTATCATATTTATCGAACAATCATATGTTTAATTAGGTTACCTAAGTGTAAGAGATGATAAATATGATTGACATGTTCAAATTTACAGTTAATGATTCATTGTTAGATTTGTTTACACAGCAGAAAGATAGTAACTGATCCTTGATTTGAGAGTTCAATTTAATCACTGAGTCCCTAAACTAAACTTGGATATACATTAGTTTTAATTTACATTACTATGCTTTTTTTCAAAACACACAAATATATGCTTACTTAATACAATGACAACATGAATTCTAAACTAATGATAAATTACATTGAAGTTTCATAAATACTTCTTAGAACATAAAATGATGAAGTGATTACTCTTTAAAAAGGAATGATAGAAAGAATCACACGCTAATAACTGCAAATAGAGCATTTTTTTAATGAAGGATTTTGTTAATTAGTTTCTTTAAGATATTTTTTAAGATTAATAATATATTATTTATAATAATAATTTGATATTAAATGTAATAATTGATCATTTTAATCATGATTTTTAATGCATTAGATAAATATATTTTTTATTAAAAATATTGTAATTTAAAAATAAAAAAGAGTTAAAGATATTGTAATTTAAACTTCAAATCTATTAAATGCAATGTGATTGCATGAATATATAATAATCTTAAATAATGCTTTAATGATGTGTTTAGTGCACAAGATTAGGATAGGACGGGATAAGATGATATTGTGAATATGATTAAATTAAATAATATAATCTTATATTGTGTTTGATGTGAGCAAGAATTAGAATAAAATAATTTATTTATTGGTCAAAATTAACATTTTTTAAAATTTATAATATTTAAATTATTTATGAAACTAGCTTACTACTAATGCACGGATTATTTTTATTTTATTTAAATTTAAATAAAATAAATTAATATTATTGAATTATTTACATGTTCAAAATATATGTAAAATATACATAATATAATTAAAATATCCAATCATAATAAAAATAAAAATTTTAATTAAAAAATTAACAAACTTTAAAATATATAATAAACAATATTGGAGAAAGAAAAAACATAAGAAGATATTATAAATAATATTATTAAGTATACCAATAAAATATTAAAATAGCAATTAAAAATCTTATCACTTCAAGTAAACTTTATTCAATTTGCATATCTTCAGCTTCTTTTATCATTTTTATACACCTGCAGATTTATATAGTTTTAAGATAAGTTTTATTTGTTTAAGAGAAACAATGATTTTAAATGTTCAAATAATATACGTGATAACTAACTTGTGTGTATATATATTTTTAAGAGTTTCAATAATATCATAATTTTCAGCATCTATATGATTTTTCAAATATTTGTGCCTTTCAATTATTTTGAGGTTGATATCTAATACAGAATTATGTTCTGTAAAAACTAAAATGAAATAGTTTTAAATTTTGAGTAAATAATAATATTAAATTATAAACAATTATTTAAAAAATTATTGGCAAAGGATTTTAATGAAATGTATCAAACTGCTTATCTTTTGTATTTTTTTCAAGTAAATATCACTATCTTCTGCATAAAGTATCTAATAAACATATATAACAATCAATCTTGAACTTTCATAAAAAAAAAATTGTAATCATTGAGTTCTATTTCAAAAATATATGAACGATTCTCAACTCTTCTAATTTTTTTTTTCACTTTAGCATCTCCATCTTTTACATAAATAAATAAAGCAAATTTATTAAGTTTATTTTCTTATTTATTTTTAAATCATTATAAAAAGATATTAGCTTAAGTGTGTTCTAATTAAATTTATTATGAATTGAGAAATAAAAAAACAAAATGTTACAATTGATTTGAAAAAAAAAATCTTACCTTATGGAATGAATAGTATGTTTAGTAAAATAGTACCTATCATAAAATAAAAAAAAATATTTTAGTTCCTATAGTAATAATAGACTAATAAAATGAGAGATTAAATTAATAGTAGAGAAAATATATTTAACTCATATGCTTCGTGTGACATTGAGAAAACTATATAACTAAAAACTACCAACAATAAAGGCTTTTTGAAATTATTTTAGTATTTATATTTTTTTTTCACATTTTCGTTAAATATTAATATTAAAGTCTATAACAAATATTGATTTAAATTTAAATTTTATTTTTATTCAAATATATCTAAATATATTTTTTAAAGCTAGTAGATTGTTTATTAAAATTATTTTTATTTATAATTAATATATTTAAAAGCTAGAGATAATATAAGAATTATTTATCAAAAATATTAAAAACATTAAATAATATTTAAAAAATTATGATAAATTTAAATAATCATATTAACTGTAAATAAATTGAAAAAGATAAATTACTTTAAAATTAGTTTCAAATAGAGATAATGTGATATATAAAAGAAAAGAATTTCATTAGAATTTAAATTGGTTTTTGATTAAATTTTAAAATTTAAGATAATTTAATATTTTTTTAAAATATATATTTTATAAATAATTAAAAATTAATAAATATCTTATATAATATTATAATGAGAAATTTTAAAAATTATCTTACGTTCCAAAAAAAAAATTATTCAAGTAAGTGTCCAAATAGCAAATACTATATAGTAACTATGTATGTTAAATATAATATATATATATATATATATGATTTTTAAACGTATAATAAAACATATAAATTTAATTTTATATATTAAAAATAATTTTTTATATTTAAAATGATTGAATCATCTTATAAAAAAATGATTAATTTTTTTGATAATTCAATCATTTTATTTAAATATAAATCAAATATAATAAAAATAATTATTACCTTATTTTATTTATTATTTTATACATCAAACATGATCTAAAGACATTATTAACAAAATGATTAATACAAGAATTACTAATTTTCTTTTTTATTTAAGATTACAAGTAATTTAATGAACATAAACGTTATATCAATGTACATAATATAAGCAATTAAGTTGTCTCAATCTTCGAACATAAAAAAAAAATCAAGTTCTATATTCCAAAAATTTTTTTCCCCGTCATAATTGCCCTTTGAAGTAGTGGGACCCACATTGGTTCCTGGCAATTCGTCAACAATCATCGCGTCCAAATCTTCGTCACCCAACAGCTGGGCATGATGCTGTCCTGAGTCTTCCGATTCTCCTTTGGCCTCTTTTGGTCAAGTCAGGCGTGCTAATACGCACCGTACGCTCTTTAAATTTGGATTCTAAACCACACGTCCATACCCACTTTGCAGCGTCCTTCACGGCTATTATTTTATTATTTTTAACAACCCTTATTGTTATAACTTTAATTACATCTGCCAACGTATTCAAGTACAATCCTTTTGCCTTTTCTTTCGATTATAAAGCTTAAATTCTTACATGGTCAAAATTACCCTTTGATGGTTTATTATTAGATCTTGATTCAATAATTTGTCGAGTCTAAAAATGTGTCATTATCATAAAGTTACATTGCTTGTGCTCATTATAACTCTTTATGAGTAAGTAAATGAACATTGCTAACGATGTTTGAGAGATTTGTACGTGTTGATGTAGAGTAATTGCTCTAAATGAATAAAAAATTTTGTCAAAAAATAAAAAATAATTAAAAAATATTGAAATTTTAATTTCAAAATACATTTCGATATTTAATTTAATTATAAGAGAGAGCGTTGCCAATATAAAAATATTTAATGTAAAATTTATATATTTATTTTATATAATTTTTGTATCATGTATAATTAATTGGATGATGTAACATATTATTATTAACCTTTATGTAAATATAATTTTATTACGAATTCTAAATCTTGATTATAATGATATAAAATCATATTTAGATCTCGTCAACAAATATAATAAAATGTGAATTAATGCTATAGTTATTATATTTGTCTTTTTGTTTTTTTTTTTGAAAACGACTTAATTGCCAATTTCGTATAAATCATATTCAAGAATCAAGACATATTCCTTATTAATGTTACATCAAATTCATGTCAATTTTAAGACTAATGCCTTCAATACTTCAACCAATGAACTCCCTAAAAGTAACAAGCTCTTTTTATTCATGATTTGGATCGAGTCAAACTATATCATTAATATTTTTGTACCATTCGAAGACTTAGAGTCAACATTCTCCTCTTCTTGGCAACTTCCTGTTATCCTCAAAATCATTAGATAGCAACTTCCTTTTATCCTCAAAATCATACATGCTTGGTTTTAATTAATAATTTTGTACAAACCAAGCTTCCAGGCAAATCTATTCTACTCGTCTCAAAATATAAAATTATAATTTTGTGAAAGATATTTTTTTAAAGTTCATTTATAAAGTAATATTTTCTTTCAACAAAAAAAAATTATTATCTTAAAACACTCGTAACAAAATTCTTTAAAAAAAAAAGTATGATTGCCAACTGAAAAAAAGTGTCGTATGTCATAACTACCAAGAAATTTACCGCCAAATCATTGCCAACTGAATTTCCTCGTCCTTAATAAATGAAGGATAGTTTCGTCTTTCTGATCCTTTATCTTAACGCCTATATTATTCGCTTAACCCCCTATGTAGCTTCTAATTAATCAATCTAATCCATTTCTCCATTTTGTTTAAATCTCCGGTTAATGTCTATACCTTTCTCTCAAGTCTAAACACTCTCGTTTTCTTTTCTTTTCTTTTCTCTCTCTTTTGCTCTCAATGCAGAGAACCAAACAAGATCGATCTTTTCATTTCGATCTCTCTTTATAAAAAAAGAAGAAAAACCCATTTTTTAAAATTTTCTCAAAGCCTTTGGAAAATGCGGGCTTTGAGTTTGCTTATCTTGGGATTTTTAGCAGTTTTGTCGGTGGTTTGCTCTGCCATTATCCCTCTGGAGAGAGCTTTTCCTTTGAACAAACGAGTTGAGTTGAGCCAACTCGTAGCTCGAGACCAACTCAGACACTCCCGAATGTTGCAGGGTTTCGTTGGTGGGGTCGTCGACTTCTCTGTTCAAGGTTCCTCCGATCCCTACCTCGTCGGGTAATTTTAGCTTATCCTTTTGTTTCTTTATTTCTTGTTTTCAGATTCTAAGGTTCTTTTTGGGTTTTGCTTCAAAGGTTTTTTTTATACTGAATTTTTGCTCGTCTTTAGAGAAGTTTCTATTTATTCTTTACAGTTTGAATTTCTAGTTTATGTCCTTTAATGGGTTTTCTTTGGTGAATTTGTAGATTACGAAAATGGCTAAACTAGATTCTTTATTTATCAAGAATTTTTTTCTTTTGTTATCATTTGCTGAATGTTGCGTTTAAACATTTACTTTTGACTGCTAAGGAAGTGGAAGATAATGAAGGCTGAAGGGAAAAGAAAAAAAAATGAAAAAAAAGAAAAGCAAAAACTTTTTTTTTGTCTTTTTGGGTTTTCCAAAGATGAAATCTTGTCTTCCTTTTCCTTACATTTTCTTTCTATCGCTAGTGTTCTTGTCATTCAGTTTTGTCTCTGTTCTCTTGAGTTGTTTTTTGTTTTTCCATGCTTTCTTTATCATGGAAATGTAATTGATGATGTAGAGGAATATAGATAGTAGCATTAATTTTGCTCTTCATCCTTTGATTTTGTTTTTAATTTTTTTTTTTTTGTTTAGACTTTACTTTACAAAGGTGAAACTCGGGTCTCCTCCTAGAGAATTCAATGTGCAGATAGACACTGGAAGTGACATTTTATGGGTCACCTGCACTTCTTGCACAGATTGTCCCCAATCCAGTGGACTCGGAGTAAAATACCTTCCCTTTACATCAATAATTTGATAAATTTTTACCATGAAATTGAAAATCGAAAATGTAATTGCTAACTTGTTCTGTCATGTGTTGTACAGATTCAGCTCAGCTTATTTGACACTGCAAGTTCATCATCTGCTAGGCTGGTTTCTTGTTCAGATCCAATGTGTTCTTCAGAATTTCAAAGTACTGCAACTCAGTGCTCTCAGAGCAATCAGTGCAGTTACACCTTCCAGTATGGAGATGGAAGTGGGACATCAGGTTATTATGTATCTGATATGTTGTATTTTGATGCAGTTTTGGGACAGTCTTGGATTGCGAACTCTTCAGCTCTCATTGTGTTTGGGTGAGCTACCATGACTCAATAGAGATTTGCTGTCTGCTAATAATACAGGATTGGGAAAAACCGTTAAAATAAATTGAAGACATGGAAGAAAAATTAAAAAAAAAAAACTGCCCAACAACCTTAGTCTATTATGGAATTCTTCTTGTGAGATAAAGTTTATATGGTTATCAATCAGTGTGAGTGGGGGATGATCCTTAAATACAAAGATGGACTATAAAATTAAAATGTTTAAATGTCATGACATTTGATTGGATGTTATGAAATCATAAGTAATTGAGCACCTGGGAAATGGAATGAGGTTAATGTGAGATTAATGTTGAATTCTGCTAGAGGAAGGAATGTAAGCTTGGTCATGTAATTAAGTTGCACATACTATCTTCCATCTGCAACAAAGAAATTTTGGTTATTTTTTCTCTTTTGACCGTCTTTCATCAAATAACTATCTTAATAGTTGATTGTCTTATGTTAATCTCAGTTTACTATGTTGTTTAAAACTTTTTCCCCTATGGATATGTTGTCAAAACAGGTGCAGCACATATCAGTCTGGCGACTTAACTAAGACAGATAAAGCAGTGGATGGGATATTTGGCTTTGGCCGAGGTGATCTGTCTGTTATATCACAATTGTCATCACGGGGTATAACACCTAGAGTTTTCTCACATTGTTTGAAAGGAGATGGCAATGGAGGGGGTATAATGGTTCTTGGTGAGATTTTGGAGCCCAACATTGTTTATAGTCCACTTGTCACATCACAGTATGTCCTCTTTCTTGTATAACTTTTGTTGTCTTTGCCCATGCTGCTTTTACTTTGATGGTTTGAATCTATTTGCTTGAAGTGGAACATTTATAAATACTGTTGGTAAAGTAATTCAGATTTGTTCATGCTGCAATTAGATAATATCGTCTTTCTTATTCCATTAGTCTAAACGGGTCATTTGCTGTTGGTTATTTTGAATTTCATTCCACTTATTAGTACTAGTGCTCAGCTAGGGACCTAGGTAACATTTCATGGCAAAGAAAGGAAAAGTAGGGCATTTGCTGGTGCTAGACCGGCCTTTCGGGCCTTTTCACCCTATCATGCCATTTTCTTTGTTATTTGAACTTTAAACCTTGTTGAGAACTAATATTTCATTTTTCCCAGCAGTTAGTGGCTTGGTGGGTGGACTTTGTTGGCATAACATAAAGACAAGATTGGTGTTGCTAACAATTTGCATTGACTGTGCTTCTAGAAATTGGATTTCCCTCTTGTTTTAAATGTTGTTTTTAACTTCTGAAAGTTTGCTATGATTGTATTTGTGGTATTATGGGTAAGACATTACTTGATACAGCTGTGCGTGTTCCTTATATTACCACTCTTTACAGGAGTCGAGGCCACTCTTGAATCTTGCAAAAGCTTGGTTTTTCTGCCATCCCACATCATTTTTTTTGCTATTCTTTTTATAGTGGGATGGAAAGGAGTTTAGATGAATGAAGAGGTGGGGTAGATGTTGTCAACATGCTTATTTATTTATTTTTTGGTTGGTGAATGGATGTTTTCCTGAACCATCTCAGTCTTTGCTGTGTAAACATTTCCTTTCCAAACAGATGATCTTTCAGTTTCATTTGGAATATATGGCTACCAATTTTGCAGCAAGTTTGACCATTTCCTTACTTAAAATTTTCAGGCCCCATTATAATTTAATTCTACAGAGCATTGCTGTCAATGGACAGTTGCTGCCAATTGATCCAGCAGTTTTCACAACATCAAGTAATCGTGGTACTATTGTTGACTCTGGAACAACTTTGGCATACCTTGTGCAAGAGGCATATGATCCATTTGTTAGTGCTGTAAGTATTAATATTCTTTCAGTTTTCTTTAAAATGAAAACAAATTATCTCTTCTTGAGATGAAAGCATAAGATATTTACTTATATTGTATTACTTTACTACTAATGTGTTTTGAAGTTGACTTGCAAGTTGAATTTGCAGATAACTGCTGCTGTTTCACCATCTGTGACTCCCACCATTTCTAAAGGAAACCCGTGTTATCTAGTCCCCACCAGGTTAATTCTCTAGTTTTATGTTTTATGTAGTAATTTCATAATTATGTTTATCTTTGGAGAAATTTTTTGTTTTCCTTTGCTTTTCTGATCTCCTCCTACATATCACTTCACTGCACCTAATATCCTTTTATGATTGACATCTATTTTATTTTCAGTGTAAATGAGATATTTCCCCTGGTTAGTCTAAATTTTGCTGCTGGTGCATCAATGATGTTAAAACCAGAAGAGTATCTTATACGCTCCGGTTTCTATGTAAGTTGTCCTACCCAAGTATTCTGTTAAATTCAACATCTCTCAAAGTTATGAAGTAGAAATGATTGCTGTGAATCGAAATTCTGCTGTGTGAACTGTTAAGTGTAATGGATCACTTTGTTTTTGCAGAATGGTGCTACAATGTGGTGCATCGGTTTCCAAAAGGTTCAGACTGGAATAACAATTTTAGGAGGTTAGATATGGTTTTCTTTGAATTGAATTAAGTTTGGAGCAAGAAACAATTTGCTTCAGCTCCTAGTTTTTTTGTTTTTGCTCCACAGTTTAAAATGACTGTTAGTATTTCTGCATGAATCGATAAACCATCAAAGTTGAGGGACTTTTTGAATGGAGGGTTTCAGCAAGTAACACCTGCTATTTACACTACATAACGATTACATTTTCATGTATTTGCTCAACTTCTTTACTTTCTTAAAGATGAATTTAACCATTTTGTGGTTTATCCATTTTGCAGATCTTGTCCTAAAAGATAAGATATTTGTTTATGATCTTGCTCGTCAACGAATTGGATGGGCTAATTATGATTGTAAGTTCAACCGATAAGGAAATTTTATGCTTTTCCCCCTAAAGTTTTATTGCTTCATTTAGCAGCATTGTCTCTTACATTTCTCGGAATTTCTACTTCTTAGGTTCATTATCTGTAAATGTCTCCATTACTTCCAGTAAGGACTTCATAAATGAAGGACAGGTGAGTGTAAGTAACTCAACAAGAGAGATGCTATTGAAGCTTATACCCTTGAGTTTTATAACTCTACTAATACAACTCTTGGAGTTTGTGGAATTCCAGTTTTTGTAATTTAAACCTCAAGTCCGCAAAATTCATTCTTTCCTTGTTCAATATATAGACGATTATCCAATCTTTATTCATGGTGATCGGCAAGGCATTTGCACTTTTTAGTTTTTACTCAGATAGCAACACCTTAAGATTCTTCTCTGGTTTGGATTGCTTGCGAATGGCGCGATATGAGTCTTTCTCTTCTTCATATGGATAACTTGGCCTTCTCCTTGTAAAGGATCCTCCATGTCCAACATTGCTAGAACTGTATATTATCTATCTCTACCAGATTCAAGTTGTTTTAAGGATGAACTATGTCTCCATTGGAAGCAGAACAAGGGTACTCATTTTCCTTTTTCCGGTCACTACTTGGTTTGATTTAGTTAGAGATGTAGAAATGGCATATTGTGTCCAGGTTACAAGTCAATTTTGTAAAACATCATTGTTTGTTTAGTAATATATAAGCGTTCATACTTTTTCGTTCTTTCCTTTTCCTTGTGTTTTAGGCTTAAAGTATTATAATAAAATAATTTTTAATTAGTTACAACATTGTTTGTATTTTATTTTTTGTAATAAATAATTCAATAAAAATAAGTTTTATATTTTGATTACAAAAAGAATACAAGAAAAATATGACATATTTAAAACTTATTCACATCGTCTCCAAACATACTCATGTAAAAAAATAAACTTAATATCAACTAAAATGTAAAGAAATCTTATATAAAATTTAATAAACAACTACAATAGCATCAATTAATTATTTATCCAAGTTATTAAGACAAACATGCTAAATCAAAAATCAATATTGTAAATCAACTATAGCTCACCAAAAAAAAAAAAAAAGAAGTACAATCAAATTAAAAATGATATATAACATCTTATTTGTAATAAAAAAAAAAACTATTAAAGAAAACAATCAATCAAGTATTTTTGAATGATGCCTTAAATTGGAAATTCTTTTGTAGTTACTAAATCATCCTTTGATATCCTCATCAATTTATTTCAAAACCTTATGAGCAGAATAATTTTTATATGAAGCATATAAAGAATTAAATCTAATTATCAAGAATTATTGTGCTTTTAACCAAGATAAATAATTATTTCTTTGGACTTCTACAATAGTCTACAATTTCTTAATATCAACTGTTTTGTATACTTTGGCTAAGACCACTTGCATACAAAATCAAATTGCTGTAAATTTTTATATGAAACACATATTGTAATTCTTAACATAAAAAGTAATACATAGATAGAATTGCTAAACTCTCTAAAAAATTATACATGGATCCTAAAAAAATTAAGCAAATAAAATATTGCACCATACATAACAAAATATACATGCAAAGACATTATCATAAGATCATTTCAATATGCAAATGAATACGTAGACAAAGATTGGGTTGTAAAAAATTTTCCATACAAACTTAAACTTAAAAGCTTTATCGCTCTCTAAATCAACATCCAATTTATAATTATGGTAGGTCATGAGAAGTTAGTTATAAAATATTTAAAATTTTAAAGTTTAAATATGAAAAGTTGATCGTAAATTAAAAGAAAAATTTCAGGTAATAATAATATATTGCAAAAAATAATCTCATTACATAACTTATTTTGACATAAAATCAAGCATGATTGTGGACAATTTAAATTTATATTAAAGTCTTTTGACAAATATGGAAAAAATATTGCTATTTAATATAATTTAAGTTAAAATCTTAATATAAAAGATTATAAAAAGTCACATAAATGTAAAAAAGTAAGTAATTAAATTAAAGTTTTAAAAGTAAAGAAATATAATTAATTATTTAAAATATTTTTAATCTAAATCAAATTAAATAAAAAATTAATTGCAAGATATATGACTATTTTTTAAAACCATCTACATGTTATTTATATAAGCTATCCATGTTGGATAATTTTTTTTTTTACTAAAGGTTTTGATTTTTATATATTTATATAAAATAAGATATAAAATGAAAAAATATTAGTTTTTTTAATACTAGATGTTATTAGGATTTAAATCATAATTACTGAAATTAAAAGTGTAATATTCTATTAACAAATTATGATGTTATTAGCAAAAACAAAAGTTTTAAGATTTTTTGTAACCAAGCTGAATTAAATTTTTTATTTCCAATAAAAGTACTTCTAAATTTTTTACATATTAAAAAAATACTGTGTTTAAAATTTAGGGTTAAATGTTCAAAAAACATTTTTGATTCATAAAATGTTCAAAATTTATTCCATAATAAACTTGGTGTAGATAATTAAAGATTAAAAAAATTATCCATAAAAACTTTGAATTATCTATAATTTTGATATTCCATAGTTTTTTATGTCAAAAGTAAATTAAAAATTTGTTAAAAATAAGCGGAAAATATATTAAACGGGTATAAAAAGTTGAAGAGGACACGTGTGCGTAAAAGAAGGCGTGGTGTTAGGGTAAACAGAGGCTGTAAAAGGTTCCGAAAAATCACAGTAAAAAGCGTTTTTTCTTAAGTTTGAACTTTGAAGTAGTCTTTTGGATCTATCTTTTCACTTTTTATTTTTTTACTTTTGGACTTCGAAATTCGCATGTGTAAAATTCTTTACTAAAAGGCTTCCAATATTTCTACACGCTCCTTTGCAACTACACTTTCAGCTTGAAACTATTTAGATAAAAGTTATTTAAAAAACACAAGAATTAGTAATTTTCTAGATAAATAAAGAAATTAAAATATTAATATATTTTGTAATAAAAAATCATAATATGAAAATAAAAAATTTATAAATTTTAAAATTTAAACTTTAAATTTATTGATGTCATCTTTTAATTTTTTATAATAACATTGAAATATTAATTAAACAAGGACTATTAGTGTTTTTATAGAAAATTGACACTTTAATTAAAAATAAAATTATTAATAAAAAATTAATTAGATAGTAAATGATTTGTAATAGTAATAATTAATAAATTTTTTAAAAAATAATGACCACAAGACAAAATATTAATAGTTTTTATGATAAGATTAATGAGATTAAGAAAAGATAATTGAGAAAGTTTTTATTTTACTAATACTAAGTTTTATTATGACAATAGATAAAATTAAAAAAAAAAGAAAAAAAAAAGGGAAGTGGTTGAAACGTTCTGAAACAGCGCGTAGGATAATGAACGGGTATGTTGCAACCCTTATAGTTGCACGTCCCAAACTCCCCTTCCATCCATGCAAAAAATTCTCTGTTATTTTTCCTCTCTCCCTAACAAAACCCTAACTTCTCTTCATTAATCGCTCTCAAGATAACCGAAAGGAAACGCCACTTCTCTCTCCATTCTTTCTAGAACAATCCCTAAACGCCATTGTTATTGTCGGTTTTGTTGGGGTACAGCTGTTTTTGAAGTTTGTTGGGAATTTCGTGAATATTTTGCGGTACTAGAAGTGGGAATTATAATTGATAACAATGGCTCTTCCATCGGCGGTAACGGTAGCGGCAACGCTGGCGTCATTGTACGTTGGGGACTTGCACCCTGACGTATCTGACGGACAACTGTTTGAGGCTTTCTCTGAGTTCAAGAGCTTGGCCTCTGTTCGTGTTTGTAGGAATTCTTCTACTGGGAGGTCTCTTTGTTACGGCTATGTCAACTTCATGTCTCCTCAGGATGGTACGTTAATTTTGTTAGTAATTTTCTTTTTCAAATTATTCACTGCTTTTCCGTTCATATTGTTTCAAAAGTTTGATCTTTTATCTGTTGTGGGTTACAAACAGATTGTAAAAAATTTTCCAAAATTTTACTTTTTTTTTTCTTCTTCTTTCTAAAGGGTCTTGTTTGGTATTGGAATAATGTGAAATATTGGGTGCTTGGTTTGGAATCAACGGCGTTTTTTGGATTTTTGTAGATTGGATATTGAGTGGAGTAGAAGGAAAAAAGTTTATGTAATGGAACTTGGGTTGGGATTTTGGCTTTTCCCAAAAAATGACATGTTTCACTTGTCCAATTACGTTTGATCTTCAATAATTTTCGGTTGAATCAATTTCTAAAGCTCTATTCAGATCCTGGTTTACTACTATAAGGGATTCAAAAGGGATTCAAAAGTTAAAGATCATAATTAATGAAAATATATGGGAAGAGTGAAGTTTCAGTCATCATCTTTATATTACCCTCACCAGATTTAAGATCATATGAAATGTTTTATATTTGCATTAATTTTACTTTTATTGATTCTGTTAAACCTTGGGTTTTCTTGATCTTTTAAAATCATTCATCCTCCATTACTTTCTGGTCTTTAAAACCTGTTTAGACAAAGACAGTGTCAGGTTCAGACTATGTGGACTGAAGCAAGGGATAACTACAGGGAGTCTCTCCATTTGGTATAATTGGAAAATCGGGCTTCCTTAATTGTTCATAGGTTTTGTTTTGTATTTGTTAATTTTTACTGTACAGTCTGGTGACATATAGTTTTTGCACAGTTTATTGGTAGATAGATACTTTTTCCCTACTTCTTTTGGATAATAAAACACCATAATTTATTAAAAAAAAAAAGGAAATACTCCTACTAGTATAAATTAAGGAATTCTTCCTCGAGTGTCCTGCTATTGTTAATCTCTTTGATAGTGTGGAGCAAATGCTTATTATGAAATGACAGAATGTTTCCTATACTGTTATGTCTGGCTTTTTGGTTGGTGTAGTTTCTAATTTTGTATGTACATTCTCGGTTCAACTTTTATATACGGTTCATCTTTAAAATGTCCCTTTTTTCTTTTCTGATATGACTAGCACATCATGCTATCGAGGCAAAGAATCACACATTACTGAATGGAAAAATGATAAGGGTGATGTGGTCTCTTCGAGATCCTGATGCAAGAAAAAATGGAGTTGGAAATGTGTTTGTTAAGGTACAAGTCTTCCCATTCCCTTAACAGATATGTTAATTAAGATTGAGCAAATATTATTACTGTCATTTTATTTTTCCCTTCATTAGTGGAATTTTGAATGTGAAAAGTATTCGGTGTATTTGATCATATCAGAATCTCAGTGACTCAATTGATAATGTGGGACTGCAAGAGTTATTCAGCAAGTTTGGAAATGTAACATCTTGTAAAGTTGCAACATTTGAGGATGGGAAGAGTAAGGGTTACGGCTTTGTTCAATTTGAGTCAGAAGAATCTGCAAATGCTGCTATTGAGAAACTCAACGACACCACCATTGGTCATAAGCAGATGTATGAAATTTCTTAAAATTATGAATCTTCATTTCTAAGTTCTATATTTTCATGTCTTCTTTTTAATGTGATTCTGTATGGATGTTTTTGTTCAAGCATTTTCCCTTCTTCTTTGCTCTGGAAATTAATCATTTCAAAATTATAATTTTATTTTTTGGCCCAGATATGTTGGGAAATTTATGAAAAAGAGTGATCGTGTTTTGCCAAGTCCTGATGTCAAATATACAAATTTGTATATAAAGAACTTGGATCCAGATATCACAGAAGAGCTTTTGCAAGAGAAATTTTCTGCGTTTGGGAAAATTGCTAGCCTGGTCATAGCAAAGGATGAAAATAAGGCCTCTAGAGGTTTTGGCTTTGTAAACTTTGATAGTCCAGATGATGCCAAGCGGGCCATGGAACTGATGAATGGATCACAACTTGGTAGGTTTTCTAACCCTTTTTGCCTTAATTGCTGGGAATAACTGACTGATTTACTTATCATATTTTGATATATGGCTGTATACTTGTATGGATTAGGCTCCAAGGTTCTATATGTAGCAAGGGCACAAAAGAAAGCAGAGCGTGAGCAAATACTGCGTAATCAGTTTGAGGACAGACGAAAGGAGCAGATCATGAAATATAAAGTAAGCCTGAGCTCATTTTTCTACCTGATGCAATTCATGATCCTAATTGTTTATGCCTTTTATCATTGATTGTATTCCTTTCTCCAAATTTCAGGCTTCAAATGTTTATGTGAAGAATATTGATGATGATGTGACCGATGAAGAGCTGAGAGAACATTTCAGTCAGTATGGCACAATTACTTCTGCAAAAGTTATGCGAGATGACAAAGGAATAAGCAAGGGGTTTGGATTTGTCTGCTTCTCTGCTCCTGAGGAGGCCGCTAAAGCTGTGAGCTCATTTCATGGTATGTTAATGAGTCCTACCCTTGATGGTTGAAATATAGTGGAAAAGCAAAGGGATTGTTCTACCCTTAATGGTTGAAATCTGAATGGAGATCATCTCGGAATTTATCTTAAAATTCACTTGTACCTTGCATCTTAAGTTATTTTGCAATGTATCCCATCCTTGCATTACTCATGCTTTTTCGGTGAAGTTGTCAATGATCCCATCCTTGCATATCTTACAGGATATATGTTTCATCGCAAGCCGTTGTATGTAGCTATTGCTCAAAGGAAGGAGGATAGACAAGCACAATTACAACTTCAGTATGCACAACGTCTGGCAGGATTAGCAGGGCCTTCCACAGCTGTTCTCCCCGGAGGATATCCTCCAGTCTACTACACAGCTCCAACTGGCATTGTTTCACAAGTACCTCCACGGCCAGGGATGATGTACCAACCTTTAGGTTTGAGGCCAGGATGGAGGGCTAATGGCTTTGCACCTCCAACCAGACCAACTTTTCAACCATCATCACTGCCTATGGTATTCATTTATCTTAACTCATTTTAATTGCACTAATCATTCCTGTAACATCTTAATGAGTACATTAGTGGTGCAAACAACTATTTCAATACTTCTATTTTGTACCATAGGTTCCTAGTGCTCCAAGACAAACTAGGCAAAACCGGGGTAGGTTGAATGGGCATGCTCTTCCGCAGGGTGGTTCTCACTCTGTCTCTTATGTGCCACAATTGCAACAGCCAACCCAAGCAGTCACTTCTTCCAAAGATCAAAGTAACCAACAGGTTGTTTTCTTTTGACTTGATTCCATTTTTTTAGTGGTTAAAGAACCAACAGGTTGTTTTCTCTTGACTTGATTCTATTTTTTCGATTTTATTCAGTGGTTATATGTATGCTCAGTTCATTGTTTTTTCATCTCATTTTTCCTTTTATAAAGATTCACTGTCATTCATGTTCAAGCTATAATTGAAACTTTCTGATCCCTGAGAGCTACATTTTGCAGCGGGCAGGACAAGCTAAATATGTACCAAATGGTAGTGCAAGAGAGGTGAACAAAGGCTCTGGAGTCCCAGCAGCTGCTTCCAATTCTATTGCAGCTGTATCACAAGGATCTGAGATGTTGAGTAGTATGCTTGCTGCCGCTTCCCCTGAGCAGCAAAAAACAATACTCGGTGAACGACTCTACCCCCTTGTGCAGAAACACCAGGTAATTTCCATAGAATTTCTATAATATATACTAAGGTATATATATAGTGGTAAGGGTGTTTCGATATCCCGAGTTAATATACTCCGTATGTTCTTTATCTACAGCCTAATCTGGTTCCGAAGATCACAGGGATGCTTTTAGAGATGGACAACTCTGAACTGCTTCTTTTATTAGAATCACCAGAATCTTTGGCTACCAAAGTGGAGGAAGCTGTGGAAGTGCTGAAGCTCTCAAATGCTAAAGTGTCTGGCCAAGATGCCCTTCATTCAAGTTTCCTGTCTGCTGAAGTTGCAGTCAACTGAAAAAAAAAAGGAATGGCAGTTGTCTTCAAAATAAAAACCATCTGAAGCTCTTAACAGGAACTAAATTTTTGATATCCAAGTATCAGAGTATTGAACCTTTAAAATTTTCCCAGTCCTCACAACAGTACTCTTTCAGTTAATTTTTCTTTTAGGATGTTTTTGGTACTTTGAAGTTTGAACATTCTTTTTCCTTTATAGAGATGCAATGCAATTAAATTTTATAACTTCAAATTTCTTTAAAGGCTAAATTAGTTTTGCTTACTTAAACTTGGAGTAGTAGCTTATTATTGTAAATTCTACTTCTTCCCTCTTTAGCTTCTGAATCGAATCCTTTACTTTCCCCATAGCAAGGTAAGCCAAACTATCTAATGTTTTTCTTTTCTCTTGTATGGATTTTGTTACATCTAAATTTTATTTCACATTCAAATTCAGCTTTTACAATTATTTTGCTATTTGTTTCATGATTTTCTTTTTTTTTTTCAATATTTTCTTTATTTATATAATAATTCCACCATTTATTATTGTGACATTCCTATTATTTTTTATTTCTATTTTTTATTTACTTTATCAAATGAATATAGGTAAAAAATAGTGGCTTTACATATTGTTAATAAAATATTTTAATTTTACACAAGGAATGTTGTTACACATTTTACTTATTTTTTAATTATTTTTTATTTTAAATTATGAAATTTTAAAGAAATTAGGTACTTTTTATTTTATTATTATCACTTTACTCATTGTATTTTATTTTTTGGGTTAAATATAAAAATGGCTCTGAACTATTTTTTTTGTTAATTTATACTCTTAACTTTCATTTTTTTTTGTTAATTTGATATTTTAATTTTCATTCCATCGTACACTTTATATTTGAAATTAATATTATTATTTAATTTATTAATGTGACATAAATATCTAATAAGATATTGACTTTTATAAAAAAATTTAATTAGTGTTATATCATCAATTATCACGTTAAGAGTAAAAAAAATTTCCAAAATTCACAAAATTTTAAAAAGTTCTAAAATTTTTTAAAAATTTGAAATATTTTTAAAAATATTAAAAAACTAAAAATTGAAATATTTAAAAAATTATAAAATATATAAAAATATAAAATTTTAAAAAAAATAAAAAAATTATAAAAAATTAATTTTTAATATATTTTATGAAAATTTTAGATTTTTTAGATGTTTTAGATTTTTTATTTTTCAAAATTTTTGAAAAGTTTTAGATTTTTTTATTTTCAATTTTTTAAGTTTTTGTGAATATTTTTTTGAAATTTGAGAAAATTTTATTTTTATTAAAATTTGTATTATTTTAATTTTTCATATATTATTTTAATTTTTAATTTTTAATTTTTTTATTAAAATTTTGAAAAATTTTGAAAATTTTAATGTTTTAATAATTTTTTATTTTTATAATTTTGAAAAACATTTCATTTTTTATATTTTATTATTTTTTAAAATATTTGAGATTTCTTAAAATATGTTTTAAATTCTTTTGAAATTTTTAAAATTTTTTAAGAAAATTTCTATTAATGGTAATGTAATAATTGATAATATAAGGATGATTAAATTTTTTGACATATATTAATATTATATTAATTGTTTATATCATGTCAATAAATTAATTAATAATATTAAAAATTTAAAGTGAAAAAATAAATAACTGATTAAAATAACAAAATAATTTAGTATTTTAAATAGCAGACTGAAAAAAGATGAATGATACAGACTATTTTTATATTTAACATTCTTTTTGAATCTCTTCTTTGCTCGTTATTAAAGTCCGATAAACCCAAACCGGCAAATCAAAAGCCCTAACTTTCTCTAAACCATGGCCACAAGCAGTCGAAGCAAAAGACGATCCGATGACTATTCTGCTTCCGAGTCCGAATCAGACGAAATCGACAGCCGAGACTCTTCCCCTGACAGAAGCTCCCGCAAACGTGGCGAGGATAGAAGCCGTTGCAGTAAAAGCAAAAGTAGCCGCCATAGCCGAAGCCGTCGTGACCGTGACTACGAAGATGATTCTTCCGGTGAAGATAGCGATGAAAGCGATCGAGGCAGTAGTAAGAAGAGGAGATCTTCTAGAAAAATCACGGAGGAGGAAATTGCAGAGTATATGGCCAAGAAAGCTCAAAAAAAGGTTTTTTTTTTTTTTTCCTTTCCTTTAATATTTTTGGTAGAAAATTTTGGATTTTTATGGTGATTTAATAATTGATTTTTTTTTTCAATTAGGCAATGCGAGCTGCGAAGAAATTGAAAGCCCAAACGGTGTCTGGTTATTCGAATGATTCAAATCCTTTTGGCGATTCCAATCTCAACGAAAAGTAAAGTTTATCTTTTTCAAATTTTATTTTATTTATGAATGACTCATTATTAGTAGTGGTGAAAGTTTAGAGTGTTAGAACCTGATCAAACTATAAGAAATAAACTATAAGAAACTCAAACTTTGCAGATTATATGCATCAGCGCAATTAGAGTACTTCTGACCTTACCATTGATTAGGCAATTTTGTTATTACCATTGACAGAATTAGATGTATGATGCAAAATTCTTTTTGTTTCTTATTTGAGTAAAAATGTGATTTTATGTGGTTTGTAGATTTGTGTGGCGAAAGAAAATTGAGCGTGATGTTGCCCAAGGAGTGCCGTTGGACATGTTTTCAGTGAAAGCTGAGAAGAAGAGACAGAAAGAAAGAATGGTAAGTTGGTATAGTTAGGAACCATATTGACATGTGATTGTGACATGAAATCTAATTTTTCATAAATGCTTATTCAAATTCATGTTGCAGGCTGAGATTGAAAAGGTTAAAAAGAGAAGAGAGGAAAGAGCTATTGAGAAAGCACAACATGAGGAAGAAATGGTAAAGTTTGGTTTTTGGAAGATTTTGATTGTGATCTATTTCTAAATTAAACTTTCTCTTTGTTTTCTTGGTAAATATCTTTTGCGGTGTTAACTGCGTCTCTTCTTTTAGGCTATGATAGCCAGAGAACGTGCTCGAGCTGAGTTCCAAGATTGGGAGAAGAAGGAGGAGGAGGTATGGTGCTGAGTTGTTGTTGATGCTATTTTTTCTCTTCCAGTTAAAGTTTGTTGGTTTAGTAACATGTGCTATCTACAGTTTCATTTTGATCAAAGCAAAGTCAGATCAGAGATTAGATTGCGTGAAGGCCGTACAAAGCCTATTGATGTTTTGTCCAAGCACCTTAATCCCCTGGATTATATGGATATAGAGCTAAATGAACCATATATGGTTTTCAAGGTATATCTCCCTCCATCTTTGTTTCCCTTGGAGTTGACACTTTTTCTAACCTTAAACTTGTAAGTTAGAACATTTTAAAGATTCTTTTAGTGATGACCAATTTGGTAAATATAGTTAGACTATGGAAGTTCTCTTTCTTTCTCTCGTAATTACTGGACTATATTTTGTGTTGTTTCAGTGCGTCACTTGAATGGGACTGAAACTGGGTAGTGACCCTTAGCATTGCACTATCATGAGTAGTTGACTACTGTACTCTGATATAAAACATTTTTAACATTCAATAGTCTTATTTGTGATTATTATTGACCTTGGTGTTTGATGTGTCTGATTCAGGGCTTGACTGTTAAAGAGATGGAAGAGCTTCGTGATGACATCAAAATGCATCTTGATTTGGACAGGGCAACTCCAACACACATAGTGTACTGGGAGGTATTGTCCCTTTCCTCTTTACTCACTCTGGATATGGATTCTACTGTTTTTGGATTTCACAGTGTCTATTGCAAAGATTCCCATCAGGCAATTTCTAATTTGATTTTACTTATTTGAATTTTCCATCCACCATACTCTCTTGAATTTGTAAAATATAAGAGCCCCAGATAGAAGGAAATCGCTGAAAAGGATTCACATTGCTTACTTTAATTGGTTGTGGTAAAAGTTTAATGAATCAAGAGCAGTAAAGCATGTCCCTTAGAATTTTTTTTTCTTTTTTTTTTCTATCTTTTTCACCAATGCTCTTTGACAAAATCTTGATGTGTTTAATTCCATAGGCACTTATGGTGGTATGTGATTGGGAGCTAGCTGAAGCCCGGAAGAAGGATGCACTTGATCGAGCTAGGGTGCGTGGGGAGGAACCTCCAGCTGAGCTGCTGGCAGAAGAACGAGGTCTGCATTCTAGTATTGAGGCAGATGTCAAGAATCTCCTGGAAGGGAAGACCCACCAGGAGCTGGAGGCATTACAATCCCAAATTGAGTCACAGATGCGAACTGGCACTGCAAAGGTTGTTGAGTATTGGGAGGCTGTTCTTAAACGTCTTCATATTTTCAAAGCCAAGGTACTGCTGTTTTGATATTCTTCATGGTAATATTGTTTAATCCACTATGTTTATGTGAGACGTATGTGTAACTTTATGTGTTAACAGGCCTGTTTGAAGGAAATACATGCTAAAATGCTGCGTAAACATTTACAACGCCTTGAGCAAACTTCAGAAGGTGAAGATAGACTGGAATCTGATCATGGTTTAAGACCTGGAGAGGAAGAAAGTGATCACGATGTGAAAGGTATGTGCTTAGCCAAGGCCTCAGGGATATTGTGGTTCCATCTTTAACTTTCTGAACCTAGGATCATTTGCTAATTTTTCTTTCCCCTATAGAAGCTGAAACATATTCTCCAGAACCCATTCTACAAGAAGAGACTCATGAGGTGGAAAAAGATGCTGGATCATTTTCACCAGAATTATTGCATGGTGATGAAAATGAAGAAGCTATTGACCCTGAAGAGGACAGGGCTATATTGGTAACTCAATATCTTTATTGCCCATTAATGAGCATGCTAGCTAAATAGTATCTGTGGTTAACCATGTTTCTTGTTAACAGGAAAGGAAACGTATGGCTGTGTTAGAGGAGCAGCAAAGACGGATGCAAGAAGCTATGGCATCGAAACCTGCCCCTTCAGAAGATAACTTTGAGCTAAAAGCCATGAAAGCTATGGGAGCAATGGAGGAGGGAGATGCAGTATTTGGCTCTGGTGCTGAAGTTAGCTTGGACTCACAGGTATCTTAGCCACTCATCCATTTTTATTCAAATAAAATTAGGAATTGGCAGTTGGCTACTCTATTTTCATTTTTTGAAATCGACTAATATATATTGGCGCAGGTGTATTGGTGGCATGATAAATACCGACCTAGAAAACCAAAATATTTCAACCGTGTTCACACTGGATATGAGTGGAACAAGTACAATCAGACTCATTATGATCATGATAATCCACCTCCCAAAATTGTGCAAGGATATAAATTTAATATCTTCTATCCAGACCTTGTCGACAAGACAAAGGCTCCTGTTTACACTATTGAGAAGGATGGAAACAGTTCAGAGACATGTATCATAAGGTTCCATGCTGGACCACCCTACGAGGACATTGTAAGTTAACTTCGTATAGCCTTTTCTTGAGCAAATTATTAATCCAACTATAAATGTTATTCTAAATGTTTTTTCATGAGTACAATACTAACTTATTCTAAATTGTTCGACAGGCTTTCAGGATTGTAAACAAGGAGTGGGAATATTCTCATAAGAAGGGATTTAAATGTACATTCGAACGTGGAATTTTGCACGTATATTTTAACTTCAAGCGCTATCGCTACCGTAGGTAATGTGGCTAATTTTGCAATTTCAACTGTGCAAGCTGTAACTGCCTGCCTTGAAATTCTTACTCAAGATAACCGTTAAAGTATGTCATGTAATAGATTTGGTGGTATTACTAAAAAGATATGTGAATAAGAAGTATTCTTATTTTTTATCCCGTGGTGGGCTGGATTTTTCCTCTCCTCATCACTTTCAGTTTGTGACCAATATATTTCCATTGGTCTCTGGCACTTTACTATCACACTGAAATGTTGTTGGAATTGGATATTGAAATTAGGCTCTTTGATTGTAGTTGTTTATCTCTCAACATGATACAATTTCACCTAACAGTGCAGTCCCCAGAGAAAATATATTCCCAGTCTGTAAACAATTTCCCCCTCCCCCTTGGTTTTGATCAGGTTATTTTCCTTATATTTTTGCAAGATAATTAGGCTATTGATACATATGTTCATATTGGCAGATTGATAGTTCCATGGTAGGATTTATTTGTGTCGTTTAGGAAATTTGGAGACATGAATAAGCATCGCTTATCATTGGTTTTGGGCCCATATTTGTGGAATTTGAATGGGATACAAATCCTGTCACCGAAAACAAGTCCCTAGTTACCAGTGAGGAATTAAATATATCAGACTTACAGAGGTTTGGAAGAACATGATAAAGCTATAAATTTAGAGAACTCAAAGGAAGATCCCCAATTCTCCTTCCACTAAACTACTGTTACTTTAAGAAAGAAAACGTCCAAAGAGATACTAATATTAAAAGCAATTGCTGGTTATTAATTTTTCTCAGTAGTCAGGCTGTCATGCTTATGTCTTGTTTTTGTTTCATGAAATTGTCATATTAAATATAATACTTCGATTCTCGGTGATGAATAATTAAGAGCCCTTCTGGATTCCACTGAAGCACCAGTGCGACGTGATTTCATTGGTTTTTGTTTTTTTGCACTCGCACCACGTTTTTTGTATAACATGCGGTGCGGTCCCTAACTGCATATTAGTTTTTGACTGAAGGAAAAGATCCAGTGAGCAACTGTGTCGCACCTTTTTCCTTCTTTGCCCCTTCTTCTCTTCAAGATTTTTTTTTAATTATTTAAATGATAAATAAATTTATAATATCGACTTTTTTATTTGTTAATTTATTTTTATTTTTACTTAAATATTTTCAAAATATTTATTTTTATTAACTCTCATGATTTATTATTTATATAAAATATTTTAATATTTTAAATATTTATTAATTTTATAAATATTAAATAATTTTGTTATTATTGTGTTTGCATTTAAACATATATTTCACTATTAATTTTAATTTTATAGTTACAATATTCATGTTTAATATTATAATAATTAATTTTATTATTATTATTTTTTTAATTTTATCACAATTAATCTTATTGTTTATCCAAATATAAGGTAAAACAATCAGAGTAATTTAAAAATGATAGTGCATTTTAAAAGTGATAAGCCTTTTTGCAAAGCAAATTCTTAATCCCCACCTCAAATGAGTGTTTTGCCCAACTAGCACATGGGATGATTGCTAATTACCAGACTTTGGACATCTGACTGAAGGCTTTTACACAAAACTTTGGACAGTGGTTACAAAATTTTGGTTTAATTGAGCATGATTGCTAATTGCCACACTTAGGAAGCAGTGGAAAATTTTATAGGAACATCATAAGCAAAATATTGGGAGCAATTGTTTTTGCTTTTGACTAATCCCATTCTCAAAAAAAAAAAAAAAATGTGACTTTCTATCTTCATTTACATGTTCATAAATCTTTCCGTTGTCGATGTCCTATTGGACAAAGGAAAGATATACATAGCGTATCCCTGTCCAATATGCTCTTTATATTGAAGGATTGTTGTTCCATTTTGTTCTTATTAATTATATCAGCCTAGACTGCCCGAGAGAAAAAGAGGTCAATAACCAATCCAATTTGTTCATCATATAGCATGTGAAATACGATGGTTTGAAAAATAAAATAAATTCTAGAACAAGTCACTTACGTTGGTTTTTGCTACCAATATCTAAACCAAGTATGTCAAACTTGGTTTTGTAGCGCGGTGGAAACCCTTCAGACTGCGCTACCAAATGATCTCTGATTTGATTGTAACAAATATGTATAGTAAATGTATGAATCTATCAAACCAAATTAATTTTATGGCATTAAAATGTTCTTTTGTGGCGTTTGAGATTAGAATTTGTTTTGAAGTACATGAGGAGGCTAAGGATTAGATCATTGCAGATATCAAAATGGAAGTTAATTCCATCAACCATTCCTTTATGATGAAAATGAAATGTAGGACTAGAACTTCAAAGATATTCTGGTTATACCGTGCAGCTGGCATCCTCAATGAAGGAAAAAAAGAAAGAGTAGATATTCCTTGAAAATTCAGCATCTGGTCGAAAATGTTGGTCACATCTTAGCTACTTTAGAGCTTGTGATTTTAGAACATGTTAATTCTTATCTTTATAAAAAGGTAGCAGAATTGCCAGTTGAGTACAAAAGAAAAGATCATGTGTATATTATTTGTTCCTTCTTCCAAATGCGAAGTTATAGTTAAACCCAGATCACAAAAAAGAAGATAAATTCAGTTCCACCATTTCTAGAACAGCTATACCTCTTGATGTATATCTACTGATTCGCGAGTACAGTTGGCGTTTCGTTGGATAGAAAATCGCTTAACAAGATATGTTACTTGACAGGACAACAATAGCTTTTGTCTGTAAAGCAAAAATTCCAAAATTTTCAAGCAAAGGGATTGCTTGATGTTTTTATAACAGTTCATATAATTAAAACTAGTTTGTCTTTTCTCTCCTTCGTTTGACATGGCCAATGAACCAAAGTTGAAGATAGAACTCCACTAAAACATTAGTGGGGAAGCAATAGCAAACTACATTAGATATGCATTTTGACATAGATTTTATATCATACATTTCCATGTACATTGAGAGCGAGAGAGAGCTGTAATTATTACAAATGATATTGGAAAAGCAAGTGAAATCTAGGTAAAGCTTTCCTCATATGGCAAGCCTACTACCTTCATTAAAACTTTATAGGCTAATGCTTCCGAAAAGCAGCCCACATCTTTAGGTCCCTCGGCCTTTGGACCATCTAATACTTTCTATGGAAAAGCAAGAATCTGATCCCAATCTTTTTCTCTGTCTTTCCATCCACTCAAATCCATCCTTGGAATCAATCCACTTTTGCTTTGTGTGCAATATTTAAAACCGAGGTCCCTCTAGCATCATTTTCTCCATAGCTCTTAAACTAATCTTTTCCTTTGCAATATGAATATTCAGATATTATAGAGATCCATGGAAACATTATTTGAAGTCAAACACTCAAAAAAGTAACAGCGTTTATTTATAATTATATAATCTCAACGCTAACCTCTTTAGCAACAGTTTCCTGATCCATAGTTTGGATTATGGACTGTATATCTTGGACAACTTCCTTCATGCCAGGCCTATCTACCTTCTTCTCTCTCAGACAGGCAAATGCAAGGTCTGAGAACAGTTTAAAACTCTTTAGAATATTAACTGACGGCTCCTTTCCAAGTAGCCGCTGATCCACAACTTCAATTATTGCACCATCACTGGCCCGTTGGCTAACATAAATGGCTAGATTGACATCATCCTGATCTCTTGAGAAGTCAATAGCCCTTTGGGAAGTCAGTAACTCTAGTAACACCACTCCATAACTATAAACATCACTTTTATCAGTCAACTGGTAGTTGCGATAGTACTCAGGATCCATGTACCCAAGGGTTCCCTGAGCACAGGTTGACACATGGCTCAGGCCTGGGCTGGCCAATCTGGAAAGCCCGAAATCTGAAACTTTTGCATTGAAGTCATCATCTAATAGTATGTTTGTTGACTTGACATCCCTATGGTAAATGGGGGTGTAAGCTGCAGAATGTAGATAGGCCAATGCTTCAGCAGTTTGTAAAGCAATTTTCAGCCTTGTTTTCCAGTCTAGAAAAGTGGAATACTTTCCCTGTAAATGATCATGTAGGGTCCCATTTGAGATATACTCGTAGATGATCAATGGTTGCTCAGCTTCCACGCAACAACCAAGGAGTCTAACCAAGTTCTTGTGGTTGACTTGAGAAAGAATCCCAACTTCGTTGAGAACTTGCTGGGTGCTTTTGATGTTCCCAACTTTAGCCGACTTAACTGCCACAACAGCTCCATCTGGAAACTCTCCTTTGTAGACTTCCCCAAAGCCACCACTCCCCAGAAGCCTGTCTCTAGAAAAATCATTTGTTGCTTTTTTCACCTCTTTCAATCGAAAAATCTTAGCTGGTTTGCCACTATTGTTTGATTTCAACATGTCTTCTCTTGCCTTCATGAGCTTTGCCTGGTTAGAATTTTTCCAGGATTTTCGGAAAGTAATTGCAGCAGTTGCCAGAGCTAGTGTGAAAATGGAGATTACTCCTACAATTACCTTTATGATGACGCTAGCTCTAGTGTTTTTCTTCTTTCTCAAGCATTTTCCAAGAACAGGGTCCCAGTTGTAGCCCTTATTGCAAAGACATCGAGAGAGGCTGTTTGCACCGGAAGGTGAACATTTAGAAGCCCCAGAGCAATCCAGTTGGCTTTGACAGACAAGTTCAGGCGGAGGAGCCCACTGAATTTCCAACCCCTCTTCCCATTCATCTGCGGGCTTTTCTGGATCCAAATGAAGGATGCTTCTGAAAGCTTTACAACCTGAACTGTGAAGCCGTATTTTGTAAGCTGAAGGCATCCCACCGGCAATGAAGGTGCAGCATGGATCAGGTCCACTTGCACACTGCAGTGCTCGTTTCGCTTCAATATGTCCAGAGCTCTCCAAATAATGGTGACAAAGACTGGTCGGAGTGCAGTTAAGAGGAGAGACCAAAAGGCGGGGTGAACAGTTGAAAAGAAAGATGGTGTTTGAGGAAGTGATGTTAAAAGGGAGTGTTTGATTTAACCAGAGGCCCTCACTCACAAGCATGTCTTGGGTTACACATTTGCCAGGCAGCCATGGTGATGGTTGAACAACCATGCGTTGAAATGAAGCCATGATTCTAGTGACAAGGTAAGAACTTCCGTTCAAGGCTTCAAAGTAAAGTTTCTGAGACTGGGAATCACAACGAAGAGAATAGCCTGGGTCACCGCAGTTAGGGTGTGTGCTTAGAGGATATGGGACCTCTATGGAACCACAGCTAGGACAAGTTTTCTGGGAAGAACAGTAATGACCAAGGAAAAGAAGAAAGGAAATATAGATGCAAATGAAGAATGGCTTTGCATTCAGCTCCGTTGAGATCATCGTGCATGGACGAAGGCGAAGAGAGCTGATATGGGTACAATGCAACGAGAAAGGATGCTGGGCTAATTAAAAGGCCTGAGAGGAAGAATAAAGTAGGTAACTCTATCATAATGAAAAGTAGCAGAAAGAATCCATATGAAAAACCAACCCTCTTTTGTCATTTATAGGACAGGTGGATTCCTACTGTGGCATCCTTAGGGAAGGAATTGCTAACTTTGTTCTCTACATAATGGTAGATATTACCAGGCAAGGCTTCATGGCTCTTTTATAGAAATCAGACTTTCTCCTTCTTCTGAAATCGGGTTGAAGAACATATCATAAAAGTTAAATTCAACAACATAATCAATAGTCCTCCCACTACAACTTTCAATGTTGATCACAAGTGGATCAGGCAAAGACATGGACAAACTCCACAAACAACATATTTTTTTAAAGAGCACCTAAGTACTCATGAGGGCAGGGGGATTTTTTTTCCGGAGATGTGGCCAACCATCCATTGAACAGGACAACATTATCAGCTCGATGAAGAAAATAAAAACAAATTTTACAATGAAGAAATAACCAGACAAAGCAACAGCTATACAAGCAACAACTACAAGGGAAATGAGATGGAAGTGATCAAAATACTACTTTCTTAGCATGTTTCTTTTTAATCCACCAGTGAGTTTATACAAAAGATAAGAAGCAAAGAGTCAGGAGAAGAGGGAGAACTTTGGAGAGTACAATTTAAGATTATAATAAACAAAATAACATGTGTAGAAGTTGTAAACAGGCTTTAATACCAATGATATTTAATCAGTTCAAGAACGAAAGCACCTCTGGCTCCATTCTAAAGAATGGAGAAAAAAAGCAGGCCTTCTACTTTCCCCAAACCGCCATCTTCTGTGACTTAATTCATCCACGCAGAGAATCCACATCACAAGCAGCTGGATTCCATGCTTTAACCTTCAGTAACTTTTACAGGAGTCCTGCAGCAGATATTAATGTCTAAACCAAACTGGCAGAATAGTTTAAAAATATAATATGTATTGTGTAATTGGAAGGATCCATTGCTTACCCAAATGGGCTTTGTTTGATGGCTAGTAGCTAAAAATCCAACAGCAGGTTAGAGAAGAAACAGAATGGTGAAGATGCATAAAAGGACGGGAGGATAATGTAATGGTTACATACACATTTTTAAAACGAACTATATCCTCAAACAAAATTTATTCTATGATTTATTTATTTTAATTGCAATCTATTACATAAAGGCACTCTGCCTTGTCATCATCTTGTAAAGAAAGATCACAAACCAAGGCAATCTGCCTTGTCAACATCTTGTTAAGAAAGATCACAAACCAAAACTATTACTAGAACAAGAAAATATTTGGACTGGTATTGCCAATTTGCTGTATAAAAGGAGGGAGCACCAGCTTTAAGAGGTGGCCTTCAATGTGCTCCCAACGTCAATGACAAATCGGTATTTGACATCTGCTTTGAGAAGGCGTTCCATGGCAGTGTTCACGTAATCCATAGATATAACTTCAATGTCTGGTTTTATGTTGTGTTTAGCTGCGAAATCAACCATCTCTTGAGTCTCTTTCATCCCTCCAATGCAACTACCACCAACTAGCTTCCTCCCTGCCAGTTTTAATGTCAAATTATGTCAATATGTTTGAAGATATATAGTATAAAAGATCGCATTACGACTCGAATTTAGGATATCTACCAAGATCTGATCACGTCATCACTCTTAGAAAACTTATTAAAAATAGATTCTAATTATTACCTAGGATCAAAGAAAAGATTGGTAACTCGAGTGGTTTCTCTGCAGCACCAACAAGAACAAGCTTCCCATCAGTCTTCAACAACCCAAGCAAAGGCATCAGAGCGTGTTGAGCAGATACTGTATCGATGATTCCATCCAGTGTGCCAATGGCAGCCTAAACACAGTAAACATATATGTATTGAATTTAAAACTATCATACCCAGACAATAAATTCCATCATTAATAAATTATTGAAAGAAAAAGAGGGTTTTCAAAACTAAACCTGAAGTTGTTCTTGGTCTCGACCGAGCAAAAATGAGTCAGCACCAAGATTTTCCAAAGCTTCCTTCTTCTTATTTGAAGAGGTGCTGATCACTGTAACTTTGACCCCCAAAGCCTTGGCAAATTTCACAGCAATATGACCTAGGCCTCCAAGTCCAACAACACCTATATGCAAATCAGGCTTATCAAGTCCATAATATCTCAGTGTACTATACACTGTGATTCCAGCGCAAAGAAGAGGACCGGCGGCATCAAGAGGCAGGTTGTCAGGAATGCGGACGATAAAGTGCTCATCAGCAACCATAGTGTCATAGTTCCATCATGGTACTTTGCCCCAGAGGTAAATATACGTTTGGGGCAATAGTTCTCAAGATTGTTGGTGCAGTCATTGCAGGAATGACATGATCCAACCAGCACCCCACTCCAACTCTGTCTCCAACTTTAAACTTTTGTACCTTACTTCCCACCTCTGTCACTTCACCGACAATCTCATGCCTGCATCCAATATGAATGGTTAAAATCTAATCTATATTTTTTTCAGTTTCGTCAATAAATCGTGGTGCATCATTGCATGTTCCAAATTCCTGTCCATGGAAGCTTAAATCATGTATTTATATATAATATATTATTTATTAATTAAAATAATATATAATTTCTTAATATAATATTATTTATACAACAAATATAATAATATTTATTAATATAATATATATATATATATATAAATATTATTTTATTAATATAATAATTATAACGTCACTGTAACGATTTAATTGTAATTTTTCTAAACAGTGTCGATATGGTAACAGTATCAAGTTGTTTATAAAAAATGAGAACACAAATTTTCTCTTTTCAATAATTTTCAGAATTTTTCAAAATTTTGTTTTCAGTTTTCAAAAACAAAAAATAAAAAACTAAAAACGAAAACGTTACCAAACGACCCTAAGTGAAGGGAGATTAATTGAAAATGTTTTTGAAATGAGGGAAACGTAGTGTGAATCAATGGAGACATACCCAGGGACAAGCGGGTAGACGGAAGTGCCCCAATCATTCTTGATCATATTAAGATCAGAATGACATATTCCACAATAAAGCACCTTCCAAGCCACATCCTTTTCTCCTGTTGCCCTGCAAATTCACATCATTCTAATCAAACAGAACGTTCCCATTGGAAGAAGAAACACAGATTCAAAGAAAGAACATAAAAACCTTCTGGAAAATTTGAAGGGAGAGAGAACACCAGAATTGTCTCTGGCTGCCCATCCAAAAACCTTGTTGGGGTGCTCTTCTTCTGGCAATATCGTCATTGTTGGACGTCTAATTCTTTGATCTCTTCGAGTTACAACGCAATGCGAAGCAAATGATACGTAATGTTGTAGTATGAAATGGGAAGTTGTTGAGCCAGCTTATTTATAGGGGATTTGTTGGACTAAGCTGACGTATTGGGTGAGCTAAATGGGAATGTATATTTTCCCTGTTCAAACAAAAGTAACGGTAGTTTTAATATTTGTTTAAATTATTTTTATTTTAAATTTATTTTTATATTTAATTTAAAATAATCAAATTTCAATCATAAATTTAATTATAATTATATTATTTATCTTTGAATAATAATAATTATAAGTAATGAAATCTTTATTAATGTTTAAATAATAGAAAAAAAATTTTCTGAACTAAATAGGGATCGATCTAAATATAAATCGTAAATTGTTCTATCAAAGAAAAATCGATCCAAATACTTCAATTTTTTTCAGCTTAGTTCACGTATTTACCTATGAAATAAATATTGTATATATAAAAATTTTATTTTTATATACGGATAGTTTAGGGATGAAAATGAGTACCTTATAAATAGGTACTCGAAACTACTGGATCCAGTCAAATAAGATTAAGATATTTTACAATTAAATTTGAGTAAAGTTCATACAGTAAAATTATTACCCATCATGTTTTAAATAGTGATTGTAGGGTGTTTACTGTTCGAACCCCATTATAAAAATATTATTTTAATATAATATATTTTGTATTTATAAATTATTTTATTATTAATTTAATGCTTAACTAAATTAATTTATTAAATATTTTATTTTTATGAGTTAATTTCAATTTATTTTTATGAGTTAATTTTAATTTATTAATTTATTTTTTTAATAATATGTATTAAAATTAAAATTAGTATTAAATTTAAATTTAAAAGTCAAATATTAACTTAATAAATTGGTGTTTAGTGGGTTCGAGTAATTAATGAGTAATCCCTATAATATATGGATAGGATTCGAGTAATAACAAATAAAAATATTTGAATAATTATTGAATCCGAATATCTTAATAAAAAATCAAATTCAAATATGAGTATTTAAAAAATAGCAGCTATCTTACTTATTGACATTCTTAATTAATAGTGTAATTTTTTAATTTTTATAAGCAAGTTAAGAGATTATCATATATTTCATTTTTTAATTAATTTTTTATATTTTTAATATACTCTAAAAGATATATGTATGTTATCCTACTAACTTATAAATTTTTAAAACTTCAAATAGTGAATTAGATAATTTTTCATATATTTAAGTTTATATTTGACATATTATAAAAATTTTATATACTATCGGTTAATTATATAATACTATTTCATTAATAAAATATAAATATAAATATAAATATTTATAAATTATTGAAATAAATACACAATTTTTTAAATTTTTATTAATAAAATAAAATTATATGATTTATTACCCGTTTATGAAATTTATAAATTGGAAGTGCGTATATTTATGAAAAAAAGAGTATATATACTTTTAAAAAAAATTCAATGGTCAACATAGTCAAATGACAATTAAATTGTTAGTACTAACTAGTTTTAAATTGGTGCAACGCACGAAAATATATTTATATATCAATAAATTTTATATAAATATAAATTTTTTAAAATAATAATATAAGCAATGAAATTTATGAATAACTTATAATTTATATAAATATTTTTATTTAAATTTATATATTTTAATATAATAAAATAAATTAATTATATATTGAATATACTTATACAATTATTATCAATTCTAAAGAAAAATCAAACTAAAATTTATTGAATTTAAATAATCTCTAGACAAAAGACAATGTATTCTATATCAAAAAATTAAAAATTTCATCCTTGAAATCAATCTTACATATGAACTTTTTTCATGGGAGATTCTTTCATAAGTTGTTATTGAAGCGAATATGCAACAATTGATTTTTCAATATTTCTTGCTATCTTGAAACATATGTCATTTTACTTGATGAGTTAATAAAATTTCAAAAATAGAGGTGAAGAGATAGATAAAACAATAATCTATAATTTGATAACAGTTGAGTTATAATTTATACTATATAATTTTATAATAAATATAATTATTATAATAAGTTTATACATACCTATTCCAATAATTTTTTACATGCAAGCTTAAGATCAAAATCATTAGTCACTGTAAGTTTGGTACTATTTATTTCAATATTATACTTAGTTGCCCTAGTCTCGAATACACAAATTTTATCTTTGAGATTTTTGAATATCTCCTAGATTTTATAATCTTCATTTTCCTAAATTATAAGTATAAATATATTATTCAATTAATTTGATATTAAATAATATTAAAATAATTTTTAACTCAATACCTTAATAGATATTTTATAAAGATTGTCAATATCTCTATTAATTAAATCCTTAATTTTTGTATTGAATAGTATGAACATCATCCTTCCAAA